TGCAATAAACGAGGGACTACTGTATTGATTTTATACCCACAACAGAAAAAGCTAGTTTTGGCAGTTTTACTGTCAAATTTTTGTAAATGTTGCTCGATAACTACTAGTAAGATGAGATAAGAACTTTATTGATCCTGCAGTAAATTGTTGAAGTAGTAAGTAAGTTTTTTTCGGCTGCTCCCTTCTTCAGGGGTCACCACTCGCATGAAAGATTTGGCAATTCATTTTACGCTAGATTCCCTTCCTGATGCGACCTGGGCTTGAACCCACAACCTCAGGATTACAAGATTTCTGCACTAACTGTTGGAGCTACCACAGCCCCGCCTGATATTTATTATTCCTCACGTAGGCCTGCAGAGTTCAGTGTCTTCATTTTTATCAAAATTGGTATAAACTATAATTATTTTCCTTCTTTACATGATATACCATACCATATCATACCACTTTATTTATAAAGCACTTAAAACAGCTACAAGGCCAACCAAAGTGCTGTACAGACAAAACAACAGGTAACACAGATATGGTCTTTTTTGTCCTAAAATGTAAAAATATATTTAAAAAAATCAAATTGATGATATGATTTTAGTTTTATAATGTCACCCTCACTGGCCAGAAAAGCCTCCCCTCCAACAAACTCAGTGGCCCATGGGCCATCAGTTGATAATCACAGTTTTAGCAGGTTTTGTGGCTCCAGACACGTTTTATTTAGTGAGCGAAGGGGCAGAAATGGCTCTTTTGATCAAAAAGGCTCTGGTTTAGAGGAAGTGAAAGCATACTACAGTTACAACATTTGAGTGTGCAGTGGGTCTAAAACTTGAGTCACAGTTATCTAACAGCTAATATCACTTGGGATGTCCAAACCTTTCCATAATACGCTCTTCTGTCTCTAAATTGTGCAAAACAAACAAAAATATAAGCCAGTGTTTGTTAGATGCTTAATACTTCATTTTGACGAGCATTCTTTGGATATCAGTTCATTTTTTTATTAAATTAACTGTTTAAAGTAACATATTTTGACAAAGCGTGTTAAAAGTTTAGGTTGAAAACAATCTTTTCAATGATTTATTACAAGATTAGGTACCATTTTACAATACGACTCCCCTTATAGATGGCTAATAAATAGTTTATAGATACATTATTAATTCCTCTATAAACACTCTATGAATCATTAATAATTGTTTATTATGCATTAATTAAGGGTGACAGAGACAAAACTGCAGTTTCTTACCAAATAGTGAGTCAAATCTGTTCACCTATATATTTAATCTAAAGTTGTTATATTAAACGTTTAAGACTAAGTTACTACACAATAAACATTTGTAAACCTATTTTTTTAGGATATAATATTAGTTGTAGATTCTTATAATAGTGATAGTGATAAAGTATATGCTAAAGAAATAGGTTAACAAATGCGTATTGTGCTTACAAGGTAGTAACTTAGTCTGAAATGTTGAATCTAACAACTCTAGATGAAATATATAGGTGAACAGATTGGCTCACTATTTGGCAACAAACTGGTCAGTTTAGTCTCTCTGTCACCATTAATTAATGAAGAATAAGCAGTTATTAATGATTTATAAAGTGTTTATAGAGGAATTAATAACATATCTATGAACTATTTATAGCCAGCTATAAGGGGAGCCTTATTTTAAAGTGGTACCCAAGATTATTTGGGCATGAAAAACAGTTTTGATGAGGAGAACTTTACAGAATGTTGTTTTTTTGCCTCCTGGTTCTCTGTGTGTGGAGATTTTGTAATTGGAGCAGTGGATCGGGTGCTTGGAGGTCTGCCGGGAGCGCTGCTACCAAAGGCTTGTTACTCAGTTTTGAAGGCATCAGTTTGCGCTTCATCAAACTCCCATGTTTGGAATTCATCAGACATTTCTCTTTTTTAATTTGCGTGGCTATAATCATGTTTGAAAGCTTCTTGTTGGAAGTAAAAGCTTGAGCTCTTTTGCTTTCAAACTGTAACATTTTGAGCTTTGTTGTTTGAGTTGCTCTTTTCTCACTGGCGTTGGTAAGCTAAACAGCTGTTCTTCTTGGATCCATTATTTGAGCTTTCTCTTCTTCTTTTTTTTGTACTCCTCCCTGTTTTTATCCTTTTGAATCCATGTCTCCATGTGCTCCTCTCGATCCCCAATGTCTGTGCCTGAAAACCTGGCGTTTGCTCCCACCTCCTGTCCTTTGTTCCGTACCATGCCTCTCTCTCTGACAGACCTGTGCGATTACAAGAACTTTGCCAATAATCGCCAGGCTGTCAATCAAAGGGGTGATCTCTCCACAGTGACCAACGTCATGACGGGAATGAGTCCCTCCCCCTCGCTCTCCGCCCTGTCCAGTCGCGCTGCCTCCATCAGCAACCTCCACGACCGCATCTTCAGCCCGGCCAGCGAGGAGGCCATCGAACGGCTCAAGGTAGGAAGAACAGAGAACGGACGTTGATGGATGTAAACGTCAGGATCACCCATGTGAGAATGGACTATGTTTATTTTTTTATCAACAGGAAACAGAGAAGATCATTGCAGAGCTCAATGAGACGTGGGAGGAGAAGTTGCGTCGTACTGAAGCCATTCGCATGGAGAGGTTCGTCCGACATATTTGTGCTATTTATTTTTAAACTTTTCCCAACTTTGATTATTCTCATTCATTGCCTTTACCCTAAATCCTTCCATTGAAACAGTAAAATTAATCTTTCAGCATCAACCTTTGTTTCCTTTGTTTAGCATGACATAGCAGAACCAACTTTAGATCTGACACAAAGCTTTGAAGGAAACAGAACTGAGGAGCGTTCAGTAATCTGACGGCTGTGAGCTCTGCACTGTGGATTAAAATGATGCTCAGTCTGTTTACTCTGTCAGGCAACTTCAGATGCATGTTTAGTGTTTTAAAAAAGGTTGAACTTAGACTTACAAGGCACTAAACAAGAATCAGACCTACATCAAGGCTGGAAAATACTACACACTTTCATTCACTGTGCTTTATCCTGTATAACTACATAAAAATATTACAGTAAATCATATTTATTCCAGCCAGCAAGCACAAAATCACTTTTTATAGATTTATTGAGTTGTGTATTTGTTTAGATAAAATGTCAAAATATCAGACTTTGCTTGAAATAGTAATAAACAAAACAAAATCTAGAAATCCGGATCAAAATCTGATTACAGTAGTCCCTCGTTTATCGCGGGGGAGCCGTACCCTGTAGCCCCGCGATAAGTGAAAAACTGCAAAGTAGGAATAGTAGTACAAGTAGTAAGTAGTAGCTTATTCCACACTCTTGCAATATTCTAAGCAATGTTTCTAAACTCTAAACGCTCTAAAAAAGCACGGCATGTCATGATTTCAGCTCTCTGCTATTTGCTAGCCCTCTTGGCCACACCCACTTCTCCGCTCTGCACGGAGATCAGCTGATCAGCTAAAGGAGAAAGCTTCCCCGCCTAGCTGTGGGCTGCACACAGGTGCTAAATAATTTTAAATAATTTAGTTTAAATAAAAAATCCAATTCCGATCATGCGGCTCATCCATCAATCAGCCATTGTGTGTCGTGTCCAATCTTACTTTGAAAAACCACGCTAGAGAGAGTCTGTGAAAAATGAACTGTGAAGTAGCGAAGGACTACTGTACTTCTAAACTGTGTTTATTCCTATCTTTTACAAATGTCAATATAAATCTTGAAGTTATCTTGCAAACAAATAAAAAAAAACTTCATTAAGCACAAAAGCTCATTTGGAAAAGATAATTAAATTTTTGATATTGGATACATGGCATTCACACTGACTTGTGCATTAACTTATCACTCAGTTGTTTCTTTGCTCAAATGGTTTTAAAACATTGAGTCGTTTATTTATTCTCATGATGAATTTATTGTATTTTATGTCATTTTCAAACTCGCAGCTGTGTAGCTTAGAAGCTTAAAGTTTAAATTAGTGGAAAGTGCATGTGACAACGAAACTCTTGTAACATCTGTGTTGTCCTTTTTAAATCCTCTGTTTTTGCTCCAACTTTGATTTTCTTTGTAGAGAGGCTCTGCTGGCAGAGATGGGTGTTGCCATGAGAGAGGATGGAGGCACTGTTGGTGTGTTCTCCCCCAAAAAGGTAGAATAATCTTGTGAACGTGGTGACATGTACAGAGAGGTCTTAATGGAGGCTTACAACAGCTTCTTTAACATTTTGCTCATAGACCCCTCACCTGGTGAACCTCAACGAGGACCCTCTGATGTCTGAGTGTCTGCTGTATTACATCAAAGATGGCACCACCAAGTAAATCTTCACGATTTACCATTTTGCATTCAATCGGTCCTGTTTGCTGAAGTTTTAAAATAAGTTTGAAACTCTTTTTTTTATACTTCTTTTCATCAGGGTTGGGCGTGAAAATGCCAAAACTCGTCAGGATATCGTTCTCAGCGGCCACTTCATTAAAGACGAGCACTGCACCTTCAGCAGTACCACCGGCCCCCAGGGAGAAGGTAAAGGCTGGCTGTTCCTGTGTGTGAACGTGCAGTCAAAATATTTCCAACAGACTATTAAAATGTGATGGGAAACGTGAATTGTTTTCGTGATCAGGTTGTGTCATTCTTGAGCCATGTGAGGGAGCGGAGACATATGTCAATGGGAAGAGAGTGACTTCACCTACTGTTCTGCGGTCCGGTAAGAAAAACTCCAGCGTGAAACACTTAAACAGGACCAAGCTTTGAAATGATGAGGCTGACATTATTAACCACTAAACGCTGTCAGTAATTTTGCTAAACCAAAGTTATTTCTTTTAAATTCACGTTTACATGTTTTTAAGGAAACCGCATCATCATGGGTAAGAGCCACGTGTTCCGCTTCAACGACCCGGAGCAGGCCCGTCTGGAGCGAGAGAGGACGCCATGCGCGGAGACACCGGTGGAGCCAGTCGACTGGGCCTTCGCTCAGAGGGAGCTTCTCGAGAAACAAGGAATCGACATGAAGCAGGAGATGGAGCAGAGGTGGGGACGGAGGGGCTTTAACTTAGGCGGTTCAAAAATAACTAGACAAATTACTTTTTCTGCAAACGTGAATTCAGAGTGCTGAATGACTTTGCAGAAATTAGTCAAAAAAGCTAAGAGTAAATTGTTAAAGGTAAAAGAAGAATACTAGCTAAAACATAAAAGAAGCAAAACATTATTTAAATGCCAAAAAGCAGCAAAATGGTAGAAGCTAAAGTAAAACAGGCAAACTAAAGATAAAATTTGCAAAATACTACCCTAAAACTAAAAGTTTCAAAAGTTTAATTAGAAGCTAAAAGTAGCAAAAAGGCTGGCTAAAAGCTAAATATATCAAAAAGTTTGCTAACAGCTAAAAGTTCCAAAGCTCTAGATAGAAGCCAAAATTCACAACATCCATCCATCCATCCATTATCTTTACCCGCTTCTTCCTTTCTGGGTCGCGGGGGTCACTGGTGCCCATGTCCAGCCATCACTGTGCAAGAGGCGAGGGACACCCTGGACAGGTCGCAAGTCCATTTTAGAAAATTTGCAACAGTCTGGCTACAAGCTAAAAGTATCAAAGGCTAGCTAAAAATATCAAAACACTAACTAAAAGTTAAAAAGTTCTTCCCTCACGGCAAGAAGGTCCTGGGTTCAATCCCTGGTTGGACCTGGGGTCTTTTTGTGTGGAGTTTGCATGTTTTTTTCGTGCTTGCGTGGGTTTTCTCTGGGTACTCCGGTTTCCTCCCACAGATCCAAAACATGCATGTTAAGCTGCCTTCAGGCCCAGGCCTCCCTTGAAAAAAAGATCTGTGATCTCAATGGGATTTGCCTGGCTTAATAAAGGTTAATAAAAGTAGCAAATTGTTGGCTAAAAGCAACAGAATTCTAGCTAAAAGTAGCAAAATGGTAGCTGAAAACTCAAAGTAACCTAAAACAGATGTATTGTGTAGAGGCAGATTTCATAGAGAATTGTGTTTTTCAAGAAATCAGAGATTTCCATGAATTTCTATAGAGAAAATATTTACAAAGTTATTTTTTATTATTATTTTTAAGTATAAATTTTACAAAAACCAAAAGTCATAGCTCTCATCTCCTGAAAGAGCTTAATGTTAAACTTCATAAATGGCTAAAGAAGTAAAATTATAAATAAATGGAGAAGTAGTTAGATTACAAAAATCTTATGGAAAAAATAAAAAAGCGTGAATCATCATTCTCTCAACTATCAATCACCTCACTGCTGTTCAGTGCCGGCCTAGCTAATTGTTACCGTCTAATATAGTAGGAGAGGAGGGGTGAGCTAAGCAAAGTATTATTTTTCTTAATAGTAGTAGTATTTAATATGCTTTGCTATGCAGGTAAATTAGTGTGAAGTTTTCATTTTAGGAAATATTAGTTTTAATAAGAATAGTGAAAGCTACTTTCATTTTTTTTGTTTTCCATTTGTGGCGCCCCCTGGATTAAAGCTGCGATTTCTAACCCGGGCCCAGCCCTGCCCGGCCCGATCCAAAATTCGGGCCAGATCAGGCCAAAATAATGTGCTTGATGGGCGGGCCGGGTCGATCTCGTGCTTTTGATACAGTTTTACGAATCATACAGCACAAAGAAAACTAAATAAGAATGCACAATATAAAACTGTGTTAGTCTACTTGTTGAGGAGGAGGTAGGTTCAACCGGCCGATTGAAAGAGGTAAAAAAAAAAGTCCTGTTAAGTTCAGATAGACAACGGGATCATTAGCCGCGCGTGTCTGTTGACCGGCTGATTGAAAGAGGTAAAAAAAGTCTTAAGCTTCAAATGGATCACCTGATCATAAGCTGTGCGCATCTCTGCACCCTGCTGTAGTCGGCAGTGAAGGAAGTTGCATCATCTGAAGCTACAAAAGCCGAAGCGAGCAGCACGTTCAATTAAAATAGCCTTGTTCTATATTTTTCCAAATAATTTTGCTCTAAAAATATTTTGTTCATCTGTATAATAGCCTATTTTTAGAGTTGATTTTTTTATGCTATTCATTTTGTATGTTAACATCCATTTGGCGACTTGTTAATAAACAATAAATCTTATAACTTCCTTTCTTTGAAATATGTTTTTAAAATATCATGTCAAACTGATTTGCTTACAAAAGCAGTAAACGCTTAATTTTAAAAAAAGTCTTTTTTTTCTGGGTTTGGGCCTGTAATTACAGTTAAATGATAAGGTTGGTTCAGGTTTGGTAAAAATGGCTATGGGCTGGGGCCAGGTCGGATTTTTTAGGCCCGAATGCAACTCTACCCTGGATGGACGGCGCCTTTAGCGTTTGCCTTTACTGCCTATGCCCCAGGTCGGCTCTGCTGCTATTAGAACAGATGGGGTTTTTTTTTTGCTTTGATGTAAACCTTACATCTTGTTTTATCAAATTATTACTATAAGTAGAATCTGATCTTTCTTATTGGTTGAAATAAAATGTTTCAGGCTTCAGGAGCTTGAAGATCAGTACCGTAAAGAGAGAGAAGAAGCCAGCAATCTGCTTGAGCAGCAGAGGCTGGTGAGTAAAAAGTGATTTTACACTGAAAACTTCAGTTTTTCTTGTTTCCTGCTTATCAAAAACTGACTAGAAAAAAAAAAAAAACACATCATGTATTCTTCCAGGACTATGAGAGCAAACTGGAAGCCCTTCGGAAACAAGTGGACTCTCGTTATTTGGAGTCCCCTGAGGAAGAGGAGGAGCCTGAGGAAGAAGGTGATACAGTTTTACTTTATATTTTTAGGCCATCTATTCATCTGGCTTCATTTAGTGAGCGTTGACTGACTCCTTGCCTCTATTAATCTGCAGTGCCGTGGACAAAGCGTGAGACCGAGCTGGCTCTGTGGGCGTTCAGAAAGTGGCGTTTCTACCAGTTCACGTCTCTCAGGGATCTGCTCTGGGGCAACGCCATCTTCCTCAAAGAGGCAAATGCCATCAGTGTGGAGCTGAAGAAAAAGGTCAGGAATTATTTATAGAAGAGTTTTCCATACTTTGGAATTGGAAAAATGATCATGCTTGTTGGTTTGGTTTCTAACTAAAGAATGAAATCTAATTTGAGGGTTTTAAACACGTTTAAAACACACACATACTAAATGTTTACAGGTGCAGTTCCAGTTTGTCCTGTTGACAGACACTCTTTACTCCCCACTTCCACCTGACCTGCTGCCGTCCAGTGTGGCCAAAGAGCGAGAGACACGACCCTTCCCCCAAACCATAGTAGCTGTTGAAGTACAGGATCAAAAGAATGGAGCCACACATTACTGGACTCTGGAAAAACTCAGGTACCAAACATCTAGTGATACAAACATTTCAAACCAGTTTATTGGTCAAAATTCCAGGTATTTATCTGTAGTAGTTATTAATCACATTATAAAAATAGTTTAAAAAAATGCAAACACTTGGGTCTTTACCATCTGCTCTTTAAGCTCTTTACCCCCTGTGCTTGGCGCCCCCTGCAGGCAGAGGCTGGACCTGATGAGGGAGATGTATGACCGAGCTGCGGAGCTGCCCAGCTCTGCTGTGGAGGACTGCGACCACGCTCTGACCGGAGGAGACCCTTTCTACGACCGCTTCCCGTGGTTCCGTCTGGTTGGCAGGTGTGCCGCCTAATAAATAAAAGCTGTGCGCAATGAAAGTTTTTTTTTTTTAGAGAAAATAAAAAATCCTCACCATTTTCTCACCTGTCTCATCAGGGCTTTTGTTTACCTGAGTAACCTTCTGTACCCGGTGCCTCTGGTGCACCGCGTGGCCATTGTCAGCGAGAAGGGAGAGGTCAAAGGTTTCCTCAGAGTGGCTGTGCAGGCCATCTCAGGTACATATATGTAAATATATAGTTTTTATGTTTAGTTTGTAAACGTGACTTTCAGACGTAACATCTTCTTTTCTCTGTTAAGCTGATGAGGAGGCCCCCGATTACGGCTCTGGAGTTCGACAGTCAGGAACTGCTAAGATCTCCTTTGAAGACACCCAGTTTGAGAAGGTACTTGAGACGAAAGATCTGAAAGAACGTTTTTCGGATCATATAAAAAACCCCCCCAAAAAAACGTTTCTGCTCGTGAATATTGATGCCCCGGCGTTGTCCTGTTCCATTTCCAGCCTGAGTCGTGTCCTGGAGGTTTGTCGCACTCCAACACCTCCCAGGAGGAGCTGAGGATCGTAGAGGGAGAAGGACAAAATGTTGAGATTGGAATCTCAGCAGATGAAGTTAACAACAACACCTGCGCAGGTAAAAAAAAAAAAAAGTCTGTGCAGAGGTCAGTTAGTACAACAGACTAAATTTTTGTCACATTGACTCTTTTCAGGAATTAAAAAAGAAACTCTTTAGAACACAATATTGTTTATCCAACGTCTTGTAGACATGAATGAAGCTCAGATTTGGTGTGTTTCTTCCTCCGTGTCATGCAGCCACCCTGGAAGCTCCTCACAGCCCAGCAAAGACTTTAGGACTGGGTCTGGACTTTCCTCTGGAGCTGTCTCCAGAAAAGTCTCTGTCCCACCTGAAGATTGGCAGCACCTTCACCTTCAGAGTCACAGTCTTACAGGCCTCCAGCATCTCAGCAGAATATGCCGACATCTTCTGCCAGTTTAAGTGAGTTACTTGGGCTTTACAAGACATTCAACTGAATTTTTATGCAGTTTTTTGTTGTAATGGGAATTTCTACACAGATTTAGCAAATATGACTTCCTGCTGTTAGTTTATTATTATTGTAATTTATTCCTCCTGATTTAACTGGCTATTTTCCAAAGTGAGACGTTTTGAATACTTTTCTCCAGCTTCATCCACCGTCACGATGAAGCTTTTTCCACTGAGCCACTAAAGAACACTGGCAGAGGACCACCACTGGGCTTCTACCACGTCCAAAATGTAAGTAACAGATGGTGAAACAATATCAGTGATAAATATGCTTTTTTTTTCTTGTCATCCATTCTTTTTAATCTCTCTCCTGAATATTAATGTGTTACTGAGCTGATCTAATGATCCACGTGAATAACATTTTCTCTCTGATAGATCACGGTGGAGGTGACCAAGACCTTTGTGGAGTACATCAAGACCCAGCCCATCGTCTTCGAGGTGTTCGGGCACTATCAGAAAGAGCCCTTCCCTCCACTGTGCAAAGATTTGATCAGGTTTGGAAGAGATCTGACTTTTGCTTTCAAATGATCATTTTACATATCTGATCAAAGAGAACGTTTTTCCTCTTTATAGATAACGGTTTTGATTTCTTTCAGTCCTCTGAGACCCTCCAGGAGGCAGTTTCCCCGGGTCATGCCCCTATCAAAACCAGGTAGACAATAATGATATTTGAAAGACTATTTAACACTGTTTATACTATTCCTTTGGGATCAAAAAAGTTCGATCATCTTATCGTATTGCATCGTATCGCATCGGATCGCATCGGATCGCATCGTATCGTATTGCATCGTATCGTATCGCATCGTATCATATTGCATCGCATCGCATCGCATCGTATCCATCGCATCGTATCGCATCGCATCGCATCGTATCGCATCGCATCGCATCGCATCGCATCGCATCGCATCGTATCGTATCTTATCTTATCTTATCTTATCTTATCTATCTTAACTTATAGGTCTCGACGTATCAAAGACACTTTACAGACCGAAACCTCTTTCAATTTCTCAGCTTTTGAACAAATCTTAGTAAATCTTATTTAATCGCCTCTCTTGGGGTATTATTTTGAGAAAAAATGATCTGCTTTGATTACGAAATGATATTCACTATATACAGTATATTTATAAAAAAGCAAGTGATAAATGTTTTACCAGACCGCACACGGACTGCATTAAATAGGTTTTGTCAGACGGTCAGACTGCTTCATTAGTTTGCTGTAGTGTGTGCTTATGGTTTGTGACCATAATAAAACACTTTAATAACTATTTAGGGGTTTGTAACAATCAGACTTATTGTTATGACAGAATTGTTTTATTTTGGTTGTCTTTAAACTCCACAGTTATCTTCTATCTTCTCCCAGCCTGTTTAAATCTTCATGCTGAACACTTTATATTATAGTTTGGAATCTGAACATCAGCAAAACGGGCCGAGTTTTTGAACGCATGGCAGAGAGAAGTTTCTTGCTGAAAATGATTTTTCAGATAATCAGATAGAAAATGATCCGGATATGAGAGTTAAATATTGCTATAATGCTTTACATTTTGCAGAAAAATACATTAAATCCAGTTGTTTAATTACTTTTTAGGTGCTTTTAGCCAAATTGTTAAGCTTTTAAATAAATTAGTCTTGTGTCATGGCTGTAAATTGTTTAAATAAAACTTCTGAATTAATATCCACATAGAGTTATGATTTTATGTTCGGGCTGGCATCAATTACTAACCATAAATATAAATTAGTATGTGGTTTGATCTATTGGTCTGTAACGATTTATGAGAATAAACAAGGTTTAAAAGAAAAACGATCATTCTTCCTGAACCACCAGGAATATTACCATCCAATAATCTGTGGGTTTGTTTGATTTTTCTCATTGAACTGTTTAGTCTTAATAAAACTAACTGCAAATCATCACAATTAACCAAATGAGGATAAAGAGCAGCAGCCTAAAAATCCAGATGCAGAGACTTTCAGATGGAGGCAGCAGAGAAATTAGATGCTCATTTAATTTCCATCCGTTCTGTTAAATATAGATGTGTTTTCTCTTTCAGTGCCGGCCACCAAGCTCAGCACGCTGACCCGCTCCACTGCAGGACCTTGTCATGCCAAATACGACCTCATGGTCTTCTTTGAGATCTGTGAGCTAGAAGCTAACGGAGAGTGAGTCCTGTTTTATTTGTGCCGCCACTTCAAGACCGACAGCAATGAATACCATGAAAAATACAGCTTTAAGTGCCGTGAGTGTTCAGTTGAGGCATGTTGGCCGTGTTTCTGTTTCCAGCTACATTCCAGCTGTAGTCGACCACAGAGGGGGGATGCCCTGCCACGGGACATTCCTCTTACACCAGGTCTGACCTACAGGAAGCCATCATAGTTCCAAAGATAAATTTGTGACCATGTTCTCACCGTTCCTGACCTTCCTGTTCTCTCCTCACCTGCACAGGGCATTCAGAGAAGGATCAGAGTTACCATCGCTCATGAAGCCGGAAATGATATCGAGTGGAAGGAGGTGAAGGAGCTCGTTATTGGTAAGAAGCATTTCTGGTCACATTAATTAAACATCAAATCTAAAAAATAAAAAAAAAAGTTAAAACTAGAAAGGATGGATTTCATCCTAAATCCTCCACAGGTCGTATCCGAAACACTCCGGAGGCTGACGAGACCATCATAGACCCCAACATCCTGTCCCTCAACATCCTGTCCTCTGGATACCTTTGGCCAAAACACGATGACAAGTATGAATCTTGAGCTGATCTTGAATTATAGCGTTTAATTTTTTTAAATGTATTTCTTATTATTTCAACAGCACTTTTCTGTTTTACCTAACCTTTTTCACATTACACACTTTGTAATGTATTTTTTGTTTTTTCAACCCAGCCAGATGTTTCTTGCATTTCTCATGTTGTTCTGCTTTATTTGCTGGATTTGGTAACACTTTACAATAAGGTACACAAAATTTGATTAACCACTAGAGAACACCTCAGAACGAATCAGGAACAAATCAGGAGTTAATATGTAGTTAAGCAGTACTTACTGGGAAACACACAGCACAGCCTTATTAGGGGACTACTGGTTAGTTACATGTGAAATGAAGAGGAACTAATCAGGAACTAATGGGTAGTTAACATGCAAACCAAAGAGAAACAAATCAGGAGCTAATAAGTAGATAACCAGTACTTACTGGGGAACACACAGCCAAGCCTTATTAAGGGACTGCTCGTTAGTTACCTAGTAAATTAAGAGGAACTAATTACGAACTAATGGGTAGTTATCAAGTAAACTAAACAGGAACAAATCAGTAGCTAATGGGTAATAAAATTAGTAATCACTAGGAAACAGGTTTTTGACAATTATGAGCTGTGACCTCACTGGTGCAGGGTTTATTCAGAACCCACCTGGATAATTTCTCCTCTGTTTCTGTGGTAACTAACCAGTAGTCCCCTAATTAGGCTTGGCTGTGTGTTCCTCAGTAAATACTGGTTAACTACCCATTAGCTTTTGATTCATTCCTCTTTGGTTTCCTTAGTAACTACCCATTAGTTCATTAGTTTCTCTTTATTTACAAGGTAATTAACCAGTAGTCCCACAATAAGGCTTGGCTGGGTGTTCCCCAGTAAGTACTGGTTAACTACCCATTAAGTCCTGATTTGTTCCTTAGGCGTTCCCTAGTAGTTAATCAAATTTTGTGTGCCTTATTGTAAAGTGTTACCCTGGATTTGAACCTATAACAGCTGCAGTTAAATTGTTTTTAATTTGTTGCTTGTTTCTCTTTATGGCAGCGTCTCTTTGGGAGTCGATCATAGGTATGATAGTTACATTTTTAGAAGTATTGTTATTTTTAAAAAAAGATTTTTTACAAGCTTCCCTCATGAAACATGTTGTTTTTGCTCATTGTAGAACTTTCTACCGATTCGAGGCAGCTTGGGACAGCTCTATGCACAACTCTCTGCTTCTGAACAGGGTCACCCCGTATGGAGAGAAGATCTACATCACCCTCTCTACTTATCTGGAGGTACAAAAAAAAAAAAAAAGAACGAGTCAAAACACATAATTTACACGTAATTGTCTGAAAACTCTGCAAGGCAAGTGGAGGGAAAAAAGTAGAATTTGACGAGCCATTTTGAAAGTCTGACCAAAGTTACTTTTTTCTTATATATATGTTTTTTTTAATGGTGGTTTTGGACAGACAATTTATTTTTTCTTAAAATCTTTTTTTTTTTTTTTTTTTTTCTATTTGTTTTTGAAAGAAGCAAACCAGATTTATTTTGTTGAGCCCCAAACGACAAATGAAAAACAGGATGCGCAGCTGATCCATTTTCTCAGCCTATCCTAAAGTTTTTTTAAACTGGACTTCATGACATGTACACCCATTAAAAAAGGAATAATGTGAATATAATTTTTCAGTGGTGTAAAACCAGGAAAACCCCTTTTTTTTTAGCATTTAAACGTATCAATTATTAATAGATAGCATCATGAAAGAAAGTAGATTTGGTTTGATGTGAAAAATGTGTCCAAAAAAGAATTCTGGTCTTTAGTGTCATTTTGTACTAAATTTAAAAAAGTTAAATCTGGTCCTCTGGACATTCAAAAAAAAAAAAAACAAAGCAAAACAACAAAAAATGTAGAAACGTTTCGTCTCTCGGACGAGAGACGAAACGTTTCTACATTTTTTGTTGTTTTGCTTTGTTTTGGTTTTTTTGAATGTCCAGAGGACCAGATTTAACTTTTTTAGATTTTTCTACCTGGATTATTGAGCATGCATCAGGATATTTTGTACTAAAGTTAGTGTTAGCTAACCTAGCTGAGATAAACAGCTTAGAGCTGCAACCATTGCTTCAGATTTTGTAGCATTTTCTCATGAAGTGAAGTTTTATTTTAAGCAGTGGTGAATATGTATGAATGGTGTTTTATTAATGGATTTATATTTCAACCAGATGGAAAACTGCACCCAGCCGACGGTTATCACCAAGGATTTCTGCATGGTGTTCTATTCTCGTGACATGAAGCTTCCAGCCTCTCGCTCCATCAGAAACTTCTTCAGCACTGGCTGCCTCAGGCCGTCAGAGAGGTACACTTCTATGATCAATGATCAGAATTGAGCGTTGCTTTTTAGGTAATCTGGTTTTTACACCTTTCATAAATTTACTAATGAAGTTACCTCTTTTTCTTTTGCAGTAACCGTGTCACTGGAGTTTATGAAATCACTCTCTGCCACGTTGCAGACAACGGAAGTCCAGGTGATTTAAAGCTAAAGCAAGGAAACTGTTCATGAAACAACCAAAATATTTATATATATATATGGACTCAAAGCATGTCCTGCTTCTTTTTATTTTACCAGGCATGCAGCGTCGTCGTCGACGCGTGCTCGACACCTCGGTGGCGTACGTGCGAGGAGAGGAGAACCTGGCAGGATGGAGGCCTCGCAGCGACAGCCTCATCCTCGACCACCAGTGGGAGCTGGAGAAGCTCAGCTTACTGCAGGAGGTCCGTGGAGGAGGCTGTCAGGAGAAATACACGAAACAAAAAAACCTCAAGAAAGCTAAACTGAAAAAAGAGACAACACGATGTTCTGCGAAAAATAAAATATTAACATTATTTTCATTTTGTTTGAGTTAGATTTTGTTCTTATGCACGCTCAGAAATACGAGCTCAGCAGAAAGCAATTTCTTCTTTTTATGCTTCTCAGTTTTTACACAGAAACTCAACTTATTTCAGAAAGTTGCACAAAAACCTGCAAACTTTAGTCTCTGTAAAAAGATCTACTTCAAACATGCCAATATGTAGTTCAATCTAAAAGAGCAAAGTAACATCCTGAAAAGTCAGGATTCAAATGCTTTTAATGCGATATCTTGAGGCTTATTTTGTAATTCCTAGAATAAAAATCAATATTCATCTTTTAGTTTAAACTTAAATAAGGTCTCAAACTGTCATTTATTTTTATGAGATAATATAGTTTTCTTTACTTAGTATAAAATGACACTTGATTTTAGGTAAAGTTCTTGCAAAATATCAATATTTTAATTTAAAATGTTAAAAGCAAGCAGAGATCTGTCTTGTTAGTGAATGTTTTGAAAGAAGGCATGTTGCCAGTTCCTGCAGCCCTGACTTTACATCAGATTTCTGTTGTCTGTGAGCATTTCCTTTAAAATGAGCTTTTTTTAAAGGTGGAGAAGACCAGACACTACCTGCTGCTGAGGGAAAAGCTTGAAGCAACTCTGCAGGCAGGACAGGAGGCCCTTTACAAGAGCGGCGACATCAGCGACTTTGCAAAGAGCCCCGTCCTCAGCTACAGTCCTGGCACCAGCCCCCCCACCCCCGACAGCCCCAACCAGAGACAGAAGGAGCTGGCTGCTAAGGTGACTGCTGGGGTGCTCGCTTAATACTTGCATTCTACTTTAAATAACATCTAATTTCATTGAGCATATTAAAAATAATCATACTAATAAAGTGTTCTGCTCCCCTCTGTGTTTGTTCCAGTGTCTGCGTCTGCTGATGCACACCTTCAACAGAGAGTACAGCCAGGTGAGCAGCAGTGCCAGTGAAAGCAAGGTGAGCCCCAGCTTAGGCCCCTTCAGCCTGACCTGTCAAACTCTTCATCACCTAACAGCCACAGCTTTAACAGGGCCTTGTAGTCCTCCTCTACTACTAATATCTACTTATTACTCTTTCATCTGTCATTTTGTAAACCCTTTATCTTAAACCCATTTAATTTACAGTTCTACTTGTTTTATAAGTTACTTTAAAACTGTCCTAAAAAGCATTCAAGTATCCAAAAAAGTAATTTATCTATGAGTTACGGTGGTGCTTTAATGTTTGTGAAGCCTTTAGAATTTTCTATATTTCTGCATAAATATGACCTAAAACATCATCAGATTTTCACACAATCCTAAAAGTAGATAAAGAGAACCCATTGAAACAAATGAGACAAAAAAATTATATTTGGCCATTTATTTATTGAGGAAAATGATCCAGTATTGCTTCAATATGCTGCTCGCTTCAGGTCCTTCCACAACATTTGGACTGGATTAAGATCAGGACTTGGACTTGGCCATTCCAAAACATGAACTTTATTTGAACCATTCTTTGGTAGAACAACTTGTGTGTTTAGGGTCATTGTGTTGCTGCGTGACCCACCTTCTCTTTAGATTCAGTTCATGGACAGATGTCCTGACATTTTCCTCTATAATTCTCTGATGTAACTCAGAATTCATTGTTCCATCAATGATGGCAAGCCGTCCTGGCCCAAATGCAGCAAAACTGGCCCAAACCATGACACTACCACCACCATGTTTCACAGATGGGAGAAGGTTCTTATGCAGGAATGCATTGCTGTCCTTTCTCCAAACAGAACACTTTTCATTTAAACCAAAAATTATATTTTGATCTCATCTGTCCGCAAAACATTCTTCCAACAGTCTTCTGGCGTGTCCACGTGATCTTTAACAAACTGCAGATGAGCAGCAATGTTCTTTTTGGAGAGCAGTGGCTTCTCCTTCAACCCTGCCATGAACCATTGTTGTTCAGAGTTCTCCTGATGGTGGACTCCTGAACATTAACATCAGTCAATGTGAGAGAGACCTTCAGTTGTTAGAAGTTACTCTGGAGTCCTTTATGACTTCACTGACTATTCCACTCCTTGTTCTTGGAGTGATCTTTGTTGGTCCACCACTCCTGAGGAGGGTAACCTCCATTTGTTCACAATCTGTCAGACTGTGGATTGGTGGAGTCCAAACTCTTTACAGATGTTTTTTAACCTTTTCCAGCCTGATGAGCATCAACAACTCTTTTTCTGAGCTCCTCAGAAATCTCATTTGTTCGTGCCATGATCCACTTCCATAAACATGTTGTGAAGATCAGACTTTGATAGATCCTGTTCTTTAAATCAAACAGGGTGTCCACTCACACCTGATCATCATCCCATTGATTGAAAACACCTGACTCTTTAATTTCACCTTCAAATTAACTGATAATCCTAGAGGGTCACATAATTTTACCACTCACAAATATGTAATATTGGATCATTTTCTTCAATAAATAAATGACCAAGTATAATATTTTTGTCTCATTTGTTTAACTGGGTTCTCTTTATACTTTTAGGACTTGTGTGAAGATCTGATGTTTCAGGTCATATTAATGCAGAAATATAGAAAATTCTAAAGGCATCATAAACTTTCAAGCACCACTGTATAATTCTTTATTCTCTCACTGCTCTCCCCTAACATATTAACACTACCTGTCTTTATGAAATATGAATTAGCGAGGGGCTCTTAGACACACTGAGGATTTTCATACATTACATTTGATCAAAATTACACAAATCCAATCGACTTGTTTTCTGAACGCATGTCTGTGGCGACCACATTTAACTGTTGATGTTTTGTCTTTGTATTTGTCCCTCATGTGTTGGGTTCATTGTTTTGTTATTGGTGTGTGTGTGTGTGTGTGTGTGTGTTTTAGCTCTCCGAAATGTCAGCATCATTCATGAGGGAATCGTCCTTATCTGAACTGAGTACTCTCACTCCCTCCTCCACCTGCCCCTCGTTGGTCGACGGACATTATGACTTTCGGTGAGGGGACAAAAAAAAAACATTTTTATGCTAATTTTCATCAGGCGGATGCGTTTTTTTTAATGTTTTGCTGCAGTTTGGAAAACAAAATATCACTTTGGGTCTATTTGAAATTTAGGCTTATTTCAATCCAAACATGATTTATTAAAATAATCGGTTGATATTGTAAATGATAAAATATTTTTTTAAGAACAAAGATAATATGTGTAGAAGTGGACCTACTGTATATTTTAAAGTCCTGTTGGCTTAAAAATTTTAAACATGTTTGTTTTTTGTTAGATCATATATAATTTTACTTACAAAAAAAAGATTGAAAGAGAAAATTTAATTACAGTAATGCATGGAAATATAACATAAATTTTGTTTTAAATATGAATCGATACCGACACAGTTGTACTAGATTGTCAGGATTTTGTTACAAATTAAAATAAAAATGAGGAAAAAACTGGTTAAACAACATTTGAGTATGATTTTATTTTTCAGCTTGTTTTGTCTTTTGTTGCGTAGACTTACTGATCCCAGTTCAGGAGCTTCCACACCGGACCTGGACCCGTTCAGCCCAGTGGACCGAAAGAAAATTCTCCGAGGATTCACTTTTGTTCCCGACATCCAGGAGATCCGTGTCAGGTCAGACCACACACTCATTTGAGTCTCTGAAACGTGCTGATGGTTTGGTAATTTAAGACTTGAATACATTTCAGTGTGGAGAAGAAATGTGAATTTCAACCAACTTGTGGAGGATTTTTACTCAATTTGTGCAAACACAATAATTATTCTTATCCTGCTTATAGTTTCTTCAGTAGATCCTTTTGTAAATTCAAACTGCTTCTGCACACGTGCTGTTTTAACCATTTATATATCTAAATGTTTGGCTTGATTGGGATTAGTGTGCAGTGACTTTTAGTAGTAACTTTTATACTGTTTGGAATGTAATTTTATTTACAAAAAGTTTCCTCATAAAAATTATGTTAAGATCTTCAATTCTTTCAAAAAGCTTTAAAATTGATTTTAGCATACGTGCTCTGTTTTGGTCTGCTCATGCTCCTTTTAGCTTTTAGTTATTATTTAGCTAATTTTAGCTTTTAGCAATGGTTTTGCTAACTTTAGCATTTAGCTACACTTTCTACTGTGCAGCTTCACTTGCTACTTTAGTTTTGTTTTAGCTTTATTGGCTTTATCCTCTTCAGCAAACTACCAAAGTCAATCAGCACTACTGGATACATTGCTTTATCTTATTTATGCAAAGGAGCCACACTCATGGGCAGGGTTAACATTCTCAGCCATGGTCATTAAAAACATCCATAAACTATGACCAAAAATTCCCTATCAAGCACTCAACTTTCACTGCCAAAAGGCTGCTTCTCTAGTTTTAAACTGATTAAAAAAAAACACGTATTTTGGACAAAATTCAGATAATTTTCTATATGAAACCTGCCAAATCTGATCAAATCTGACCACAAGGTGAATTATCGCAAAGATTCTAATATTTATTTTCTTCATGCGATTATTTATTTTGTTTCATTTTAAATTCAGCCCCATTGTGTCAAGGAAGGGCTACCTGCACTTCCTGGAGCCCCACACCAGTGGCTGGGTGAGGCGCTTCGTCGTGGTCCGCAGGCCTTACGTTTACCTGTACCGCAGCGAGAGGGACAACGTGGAGCGAGCCATCATCAACCTGTCGTCCGCTAAGGTGGAATACAGCGAAGACAAGCAGACATTACTGCGAGTACGTGAGGGGAAACACACAGGTTCAGTAAATGTTTGCCCACGGCATGTGTCTGAACGCCTGCGTGTTTCGTGTTCTCAGACTCCCAACACGTTTGCTGTTTGCACTGAGCACCGTGGGATCCTGCTGCAGGCCACCAACGACAAGGAGATGCACGACTGGCTGTACGCTTTCAACCCTCTGTTAGCTGGGACCATCCGGTAGGTGGGAGAGAAACACAACTGAAACAATCGCAAAGATAAAAAAAACAACAAATGTCTCAATCATAACTGTAGAAAATTTGAAATTTTTCTGAAAGGACAACGATTTCCAAAGATTTTTGCTTTGTAGTTTGAACTCATGTTCCTATGGCCATCACGTCATCTCTAATTATTGTCTCAGTGGTGACAATTTGAAAAGTTCATAAGATTTTTTTTGGTCAAAATACAACACTTGCATAGTGTTCCCTCATTACTTCGCGGTTTGACTTTTGCGGACTCGCTCTTTTGTGGTTTTTCAAAATAAAATTGGACATGACACTCAATTGGATGGTTGATGGCATGATCGGCATGGATTGTTTATGTAAAATAAATTATTTCAAATTATTTAGCACCTGCTGTACCTGTGTGCAGCCCACATGTGCAAGAAGAAGCTCCCTCCTGCTGCTGCATGTCATGATCTCCGCTCTGCAGCAGAGAAGTGGGCGTAGCCTAGAGTGCTGGCACGTGGCATATAGAGGAAGATCATGACATGCTGTACTCTTTTAGAGCGTTTAGAGTTCAGAAACATTATTTAGAATATTGCAAGAGTATGGAAAGGGTTTCAAACACCTTTAAAAATAGAAGAAAAAATATATAAAGGCATTTTAAACAATTCCCACACTCTTGCAATATTGTAAACAATGTTTCTAAACTCTCTAAAAGAACACAGAATGTCAGGATTTCAGCTCCCTGCCTCCTCTGCTCTTTGCCACCTGCAAGTGCTCTTGGCCACGCCCACTTTGACACTCTGCACGGAGAACAGCTGATCAGCTGCAGCAGGAAGTTTATCCTGCAGCATGGCCTGCACAAAGTTGTAGCAGTTGCTAAATTCTGTTCTCTGTTCTAGAATTGCGCCGCTCAAGTTGGCTGCATGTTGGAGCAGCTCTGTTACACTCATTCTGAGTTATTGCTTTTGGAAACTTTAATTCCTCTTTTTCTGGATGCAAATCACTTTTTTCGGATGATTATTTCCTCTGGTATCGGATGCTGTGCAGCTGGAAGGATTTTATCTGAAACTTTTTTTACTTTGGGGCATTTGTTATGATGCGTAACCATGACAACAAGGCGTTTTTTAACAACCAGGAACAGCTGATTAACATCTCAAAAGCTGAAATACCTCAACTACAGCATCAAATCCCAAATGAGTTGAAAAAGAGGCTCCGTGGACAAATTCCTGTCAACCTGACGGCGGTGCTCGAGTACCTGACTGCAGAGATTCTGAAGCTGGTGGGAAACTCAACTTGTGACATCAGGAGGACCGGGATCTTCCTCTGGCACCTTCAGCTGTCTGTCTGTGGCAATGAGGAGCTCTGCAGACTGCTGGGAAGAGTGATCATCGCTCAGGGAGGAATTCTGTCCAGCACTCGGGCAGTCCTGCTGCCCAGGAGGACCAAGAGGCCTGCGGGATCTGACAGCAAGCTGGATCTGGGTGCACGGATCAGTATCTGTAGCCAGATCCTTCAGATTCACTGCAGGAGATCCTTCCTTCCCACAGCTATGAGCATCTAACAACTCTTGAATGAAACCAGGATGATGAGCTACGACAACACTTAATTTCTCTCTGGGATTAATAAAGTATTTTTGAATTGAATTGACTTGAATTGAATAATTAAAAATTATGCATTTTAAATATAAATGCCATGCCGATCGTGTGACTCATCCATCAATCAGTCAGTTGTGTGTCATGTCCAATCTTATTTTGAAAAAC